TTTGGTAATAGTTAGGTCGTTTGAATCGATAAGTTGGAATTTTTTATTTTTTAATTTAAGCATTGCTCTCCAAATTTGATTAATTTCAGATAATCTTGATTTATTTTAAAACTAAAGTTAGCTCAGTTGGTAGAGCGGAGAACTGTAGTTTATGCTAATCAGTAAGCCTTAGGTCGCTGATTTGAACCCGGCGGGTCGGATTCTTAAATTGGTTTTTGGTTTAGCTCGTTTGAACCACGACAAGGTCTTTGTCCATCCCAATGAGTTGGGTGTATTTGTTTAGATTTGGGTTAATAATATAACTATGGAGAAACAAGAATGCAACGTCATTCTCCTAAATTTGCATTTATGGGTCAATGGAGCACTCATTTTGACTTTGATTTGGTGATGCTTTTGTTCTTAAAATGTCAATCAATCCATCAAAACTATCATAAAAGCTCACCATTTTATAATATTTAAGAATATGATTTGCTTACGTGGCAAATCTACTTTTTATTTGATATTATCTTAATGTATTTTAAAAAGAAAAATACAATATTATATTTAATTACAAACACGAATGAACTAAGATTAGCCGAATCTCACCGCTAGCAAACGAAATTCCCTTAAGGTTACTAGGGACAGGTTTTCAGGTGGTGACTGACCCTAAAACCATTTGTAATGGCCCAAGTCCATCACTAACCGATATGAGGGAGAGGTTTTGAGTCGATGACTGACTCTTATACCATTTGTAATGGCTCAAGCCAACTTCTAGCCGATATTGTTCTCTTTGTGCTTTCTCTTTCGGGTTTCACCTTAAGGTTTTAAAACGCAACTGCTAAGGAGAAGTTTCCATATTCTTATCAAGAATGTTTTGTTCCCCTCTCCAACCGATATGAGATCTCACAAAATGAAAGTTATTACGTATACCAATAACGTGTACCTTCATTTCTATATTTGGTGACTTTCTAAGAATTTTTTTAGAATTTTTATCCGTGAAAACAAAACATGTTAAAAAGAACTCGATAAAATCGTTTTTAATGCATTAAGAATAATATTTTTTAAAAAATTTAAATGATAGAAGAATGAAATTGAGAATTATCCTTTATAGGAAATATTATTGACATTTTTACTCGAGAATAAATACGAAACGCCAACATTCAACGGCAGCAGGCACGCCAAAATTTCTGCGGCTGATTTGGCTCTCGAAGCTCTGAGAACGTGCCACCCAAAAACAAGAAACGGCCCCCGGGAGTCTCAATTCCAACGCCCCGCCCTTCTCTACGCTTCACTTTTCTGTAACACCCATCTCCGGATTCGACCTCTAAACCCCTTTTCACCGGAAAACTCGCCGGATTCTTCATCGGGACCAAAATTGTTCACCAGAGAATCAAAATAGACTCCGTTGATTTGGATGTGAGCGGCTATGGTGGAGCATTGAGCGATTAAGATGAGTGGTTTTGAGGGGAAGAAGAAATGGGGAATTTGTGGGGTTAGGAATCACATTCACCGGCGCCGCCATGGACGTGGTACCTGGGTCGGTGGGAACCGGCGGTAGTTTCTCTTTAAGACTGGGCCAGACTGTGTTCTCTTCCGCTTCGCTTCTTTTCATGTCTTTGGGTATTGAGTTCTACAGCTACACTGCTTTCTGGTGATTACCTTTTCCCCCTTTTCTTTGGATTGCTTTTGATTCTGTTCTTGGTGGTTTGTATGATCCATGGAAGATGAGTTGATTGGCTTGAAAATCTCTGAAATTAAGCCTTGATGGGATTTGGGTTTGTGTTGTTGAGATGAATGAATGTGAAGAACTTACTTGATCTTGGTTAGGATCTGCGAAGCTTTTGAATGTTCTGTTTAAGGAAACTAGTTTTGATAATGCTTGCAGGCAATATACAAATAACTTGTTGGTTAAACCATACAACTTTGAGCTATGAGTTTATTTAGCATGTTATCTATATGCTAGTATGCCCTTTTGTGGTGGTTTTCTCTTGCTGACTTCATTGAGATTTGCCACCAAACACCTCCTTTGGATCTATCTGCAATTCTGTTGTTTCAAACTTGAGTTATATGCAAAAACAAGCTCATTCAGAAGATTATTCATAGCTTTGTCCTAGCATCTGATTCGAAAGAAAACAGATCGAAGTTTATCTTATAGTTTATGGAATAGGTTATCTAGGATATGTAGGTGGATGTGTGAGATTCCATATCGGTTGGGAGGAGAATGATGCATTCTTTATAAGGGTGTGGAAACCTCTCCCTAGTTCACACGTTTTAAAAACCTTGAAGGGAAGTCTGAAAGGGGAAGCCCAAAGAGGACAATATCTGCTAGTGCTGGGCTTGGGTTATTACAAATGGTATCAGAGTCAGACACCAGGCGATGTGCCAACGAGGACCAAAGGAGGGTGGACATGAGGGGTGTGCTAGTGAGGAGGTTGAGCCCCGAAGGGGGTAGACACGAGGAGTGTGCCAGTAAGGAGGCTGAGCCCTGAAGGAGGGTGGACACGAGGGGTGTGCCATCAAGAAGGCTGAGTCTTGCAGGGGGCTACACCGAGGGGTGTGCCAGCAAGGACGCTGTGCCTCGAAGGGACGTGGATTGGGGGGTCCCATATCGATTGGAGATAGGAACGAGTGCCAATGAGGATGTTGGTCCCGAAGGGTGATGGATTGTGAGATCCCACATCGGTTGGGTGGGAGAACGAAGCATTCTTTATAAGGGTGTGGAAACCTCTCTCTAGTAGACGCGTTTTAAAAACCTTGAGGGGAAAAAACCCAAAGAGGACAATATCTGCTAGCGGTGGGCTTGGGCTGTTACAAATGGTATCAGAGCCAGACACGGGACGATGTGCCAGCAAGGAAGTTGAACCCCACCCCAAAAGGGGATAGATTGGGAGGTCCCACATCGATTGGAGAAGAGAGCGAGTGTCAGCGAAGATGTTGGACCTAAAGGGGGTGGATTGTGAGATCCCACATCGGCTAGGGAGGAGAACAAACATTATTTATAAGGGTGTGAAAACCTCTCCCTAGCAGACGTGTTTTAAAAACCTTGAGGGAAATTCCGAAATGGAAAGCCCAAAAAAAACAATATCGGTTAGCGGTGGGCTTAAGCTGTTGCATGATCAATCCATTTGGTTTAAAGTAAAATAGTTCATGAGATTATCTGAACTGAACTCGACCGTCTATTTGTTTATCTTATAGGCTACTCTTCTGGGATTCCATGATTTTGCTTTGGATATTAATCTTTCCATTGTTGTACATCAATGCAGCTACCTTGTGACAGTAATGGGTTTGGTCATACCCTGGAGCTTCACCTTAGCATTGGTTGATGGCTATTCAGTTCTTGTAAAATGTCCTCTTCGACAGCCCGGAATCCTCACGATCATCATCGTCGGAGATTGGGTAAGTACTTCTTCTTGAATGCATTAAACTTTCAGTTTCAGGATGCTTTGGTTTTGGTATTCAAACCATTTGCTTGAAGAACAGGTGCTCTCACTTCTTACACTGGCTGCTGCTTGCTCGACAGCGAGTGTCGTCGACATACTGCTTCTTTCGGACAGTTCGTATTGCCCGTCGAAGCTGTGCAGGAGATATCAAATATCTGCTGCCATGGCCTTCTTGTCATGGTTTTTGTCTTATGCTTCTTCTCTTTTCAATCTTTGGTTACTTCCATCCTTATAGTGTTCATAACTCCTAACCTCTAATTTGCTGAAGTTCTGTATCCATAGACTTATGCACTCATTTTGTTCTGAATTAGAAACTTGTACACTTATTTTGTTCTCAAGTTGGATGAGATTTTAGGCAAGGAACCGAACTACCCAAATTCAAACAAAAAAAAATCTATCCCAACCCAATTTTTATGATTTGAATTGGGTAGTCTAAGTAGACGGGATTCCTAAATGATATGAATACCTATACTATTAACCTATCGGGATTGTCTAATTCTATTCTTTAAAACTATAAAAACTAAATTTCAACTTTTTCTACCAAAAAGATCAAATTTATAATTTAATCTATCTTCGTCTCACCTTTGATCTGGAATTGATTCTTCCTCTAAAATACCAATGTCAATTTTGGAGGTATAACGACGGAATTTGGCGTGTCATTACTTCAAAATGGATAATGTTAAGTAATGTAACAGACTATAGCTTCAATATTCGATCTTACCCATTTGGATCTCCTTAAATTTTTCAAGTTCAATTATGTTTCTAAGATGTTGTTCCAAGGTGTTAGGTGGGGCACAAGGTTTAATTTAAGCTAGGCTACTTTTAAAAACACGTTATACTAAAAAATGAATTTGATTGTCAGACATCAAGTAAATTGTAGAGGTCGCACAAAAATAATTAGAGTTGCCCAAATCGTTGGTTAATGTAGCAATATCGTATATGGTTTGATGCTTAGAGGTGAGTGATCAATTTGGTAAAGTGGAGAGGTATAGAAAGTGCACAAAGATGCAACATTAGGAAAAACATTCATTATACTAGAGAGACAATAGTTGTCTCATTTAGAGAGTGTCGAAATGTTGACTCGTTTACATAAGATTCTCTCTTGGATTTTGTATGATACAAGACATGAGGATCGACTTAAGCTTGAATTGCTTAGCTCAGTCCTTAAACGTCATGGACATATCAGGTGTCAAGCCAACTATAGTAGTAACGAAGCACTACTAAGCAATTCACGTATTAAGTCAAGGCGGACGACTTATGTTTTTATGTCGGACCACACTCGTCGACCTCTGATCGAGTTGCGAGCACAAGCAGGTAGGCGGCTAGGAGGGAGGGGCAGTTGGACTACCTTTTCAATCAATCTCAGACCAACCCCTAATTACTAGACCAACCTGACAGATCTTGTGCCACTCCACCTGGTCATATTAAACTGTCATGTCTCCTAGCTCCCGAGACTCTTTCATAAAATTCCAATAATTTCTCCTGCTCGATGGGTCTACATCCATCCCTGAATGTCATCAGGTATTCTTCAGTTCCCCACCATTCTTGTAACCATCACCATTCTTGTAACCATCACCATTCATGTTTGAGTACTCGGAGTCTCCATTCATGTGTGACGGTTGCAAGGAGGTCGGTATAGGCTCTCGCTATAAATGCAGTCTGCAACTTCGACCTTCACGTGCATTGGCGACACTCCCCGATTCTGCAATGCCTGTGGGAAGGATGTCACTGGCTTCATTTACCACTGCAAATTGTGTGGTTTCGACCTTCATCCATGTTGTGCCAAGCTCCCAATGGCACTGAGCGACGGTGCAATCAAGCTCTACCTTTATAAGAAAGTGAGTGCATCGTGTCATAGGTGCGGGCGGAAGGGAGGAAGCTGGAGATATAGGTCTTCCTGTAAGAAGAATAATCTACATGTAGCTTGTGTGAAAGATATGCTTGTGGAGAGCTGGCATGAATTGTATTTTGGACGTGGGAAAGGGACCAAATTGGAGACGAGAATTCCTAGTCTTAGGAATTCTCTTCAGACTCATCACAACAAGGGCAAGGGGAAGATGAAAAGGAGCTGTGTTATGGCTGGTATGGCTGTCCAATCTGTTATATCGGCACTGCTCGGTGACCCAACAGCTCTGATTGCTGGAGTTATTGTGGCCCTGATATCAGCAGCTTGATGAACAATGATATCAAGTAAGTTAGGATTAGGATTAGAATCAGGTTCCTTCAGTATGGACTTGTTTGTAGGATATCAGATCATCATGAATCTCATGATATCATTTAGTTGTAGCCAAAAATCCAAGAGCCTACCTCGTTGATAAACAATTTCTCTGGCCAAAAGGAAAAAGAAATAGTGATTTTCTTTCAAGAACTGAATTTCCTTTTGAGTTCACGTAATATTATCTAAAAATTCCCCCCCCCCCCCCCCCCC